AAGGTTAACGGATTTGTATATAAGGTCCTTTAGCTTTCGGACATGGCTGAACATACTCAATTACCTACATGGTTTTCCTAGGTCAATCTCGTATAGGTGGATTTTAACCATGAAGCGACCAGTCATGTTGAAATCATTTAGATGGCGAAAGCTGGACGACTGACCTGACTCATTTGCTTACTTTATTCTACTTCGTGCAGTAACAGAATCGGGATACTACTTGTCGGCTCAATGCAAAGTGAGGCACGCCCGACAAGCCGTGCAGTAAGTTTGCATGGCACAACGAAACTTGGAACAAGCATAGTATCACAAAACCCTTTTTAATTCATTGTTAACGGCTTCAAATTCGGGCACATGGACACACAGTTGGCTGTTGAAGATGTCGTAGTATCAGATATCCGATATTGGTCGGCTTGGGTGCCAAAATCGCCAAGGTATCGTTAATCGGCGTCCAGCAATTGATGAGATACCGGTATCATGGATACCTCCAGGTTGTTGGGTGTGGTAGGATTGCCGATTTTCGGATAGACTTACCACTCTCGTCGTGGCGAGTGTTGAAGCGGGTGGTGATTTTCGGGAAACGCATCCGACTTCCCATTGCAAGACTGTGGAGTCACTGCCTTGGTCTATGGAACCAATTCCCGGTGGCTGTTTTGCCGACTCCTCCCCCGCGCATTGCATCTGTTGCACGGTTGAGGCACGAAGCTTTCGTAATCGTGATGACAGGCTATAATTGTCGATCGCGCTGGAGCTCAGTCAAAGCAGGATACAAATATCATGGTGGTCACGAACTAGTCGGGCTGACTGAGCCATTTGTCACCGTACTCTTCTAATAAGTCTACACGCCCTATCACCAACAACGTCTCCTCTATCTAGACAGTTTCTGTTCCTTACAATGGCATCATCTCCAATCTCCCCAGAGATCTTTCATGTCCCACCCACTCCTCATTCCCCCAATTCCAAATTCCCTGTCATTGTGTATAGAAACGCGCTGGGGGACAGGACAGTGGAAGGCGCTTTAGAGTCGATCAACACCTCGGAGTGGGTCAAAGGGGGTCACTGGAAGATCGCCAACGAAACACTCGCAGCTACTCCCCATTATCATTTGACAACACACGAGGCGTATGCTGTCTTACATGGCAGCGGCACATATGTTCTTGGAAAATCCCCTTTGGACGCAGACACCGACGAGCTCGGCAACCCTGTGGGTGTCAAATTTGTTGCTCGTGCTGGGGACGTCTTTGCATGGCCAGTAAGTTACTAAATACCGACAGAAACCGACCAGGACCTGGGCTACTAATGCCAACTGCCTTATTTTAGGCAGGAGTGACACACTTTGTTCAGGAATCTGAAGATGACTACGAGATAATCGGGTTCTATGCTTTGGTAAGGTCTACTTAAACATTGCTTCCAGTCATACGTTCTGTGCATAAGGAGCTGACGGGGTTTTGAGACGGGGTTCAACTCTAGGGAAGAGCCTTATGATATGGAGTATGCGTTGGATTCAGTTCAAGAAACAGACGAGAAACGGGGAAGGTGCGAGAAGGTCCCTGGTCCGATTAAGGATCCGTTATACGGAGAAGGAGGGCCGATGCTATCTCTGTGGAAGAAGAATGACTCTTGATCTTTGCAAATGTGTGTTGTGCGCAAGCAAGACATTCTAGGCGGGACAGGGTTCAAGGAAATATGACCAGACATACTTTCAATTGACCAAAATGCACACTTTTCCTCGACTCATGGCCACTTTTTGTCTCTCCTAGCCAATATTCAGATGTATTTTAGGTCTGATTAACTAGATGCTGTCCACTAACCTTCAGTCACGGGGAAATCCCAGCTCATGCTCTCAGGATCCAGTGAGTTAGCGATATCGATCAGAAGATCTGTGCTAAGCTCGGCCTCCATCGCCAGGCTTTGCTCAAATTCTAGGCCTAGGGCTTGGTCTGTTGGATATGATCCAACATCATTTGTAGAGATAGTACGCTCTGTCCTATGAACTTGGGGTGGGACTTCTTCGTCTGCACTGAGATGGTGAAGATAATGATCAAGCTGCCTCAGCTCAGATGAGATCATTTCAGCGATCTTACTACCGTGAGAGTCCATTTCTTCGAGGATGAGAAACACCCGTTGGGACCACGCAGCGTGGTCGGAAATCAGAGTCGGCTCAACAGCTGCAGCCATAGACATGGCGACTGCAGCTGTTGACGTAGCATCCAGATCAAACGTTAGGAAGCTTTCTGTGATCCGTCGAATGAGCTTCTTCTTTTGTAAAGAATGATTGAGCAACTTACCCAGCAACCCATGACTCAACAATCTTGATAAAATCTTGACTATCTGTCGCGAAGAATCCGTGCAAACCTGTAGTAAATTTCTGATGCTATCGGAATGCAACCACTGCATCAGCACCGGTTCAGATTGCCCGAGTTTGGACTGTAGGAATATGAATAAAAGCGGCCTAGTGGTAAGAACGATGCACTTTGTGCAAGTCAAGTTAGCAATTACTTTATACCGAAGTTTGATTTGTCCATACTTGGTGGTACTGGAGATGCAAATGTGCCGAGACGCGGGAGACTCCTGATGTGTTCTCACTGGAGTCTATGTCAAATGAATCATGGAGATTGGTGGCAAGGCCTGCTATGCTTTGGAGAACAGCCTTCGTGGCACCCAAATAGCGACTGTCGAGCTGTCCTTCGATACCGTAAACAGCTAGTGCGAGATTTTAGCCACCAAAGCGATGATAGTAAGGTCAAGATGAGTACATGACTCTTCGCCTTACTCTGATGGATCTGACCAAGTACCTGCGCTAACTTGATCTGTACGTGCAAAGCGCTGGTTCTTTGAGCTTGCTCGTAATATATGGGGAACGGTGTGCAGACGCATTCATCCGAGATGAACATAGGCACTCCCATGAGTGCTGACATCTGACGCTCCAAGACATATATCGTCCACCATACGAGCCTGCATTTCTGAACGTACGTCTCGTCTAGGTGGTGGCTCTGCATTTCGGTATGTAGCCCATGTTCAAACGCTGTGCTGAGTGCCTGTCCAATCTGGAAGAAATTTATCAGAACTTGAGGTCAGAAGTAGAGGCATGGCTCACCAACATATCGATAAGCGGCGGGCCAACTACTTATACAGTGGAGATACAGTGAGGTACAACAAAGTACCTGTATCCTTTCTATGTAGTCACACTCGAAGAAGGTGAAGTCCGGCATAAGCTTCATAGCCTGCACAAACAGCTCCGCTCCAGGTGGCTGGTGTGACTTTGATGTTTGCACAATAAACGCCTTGCCGAATGCTAAGAGAATGAGGTAGTGAACAAACCACAGTCGGGGGACTTTTAACTGATCCGCGGCACTTGCATGGAATGTGGCAAAGTGCTCCATAAAAGCATTCTCTTCGAACAGATAGAACAGTCGGCAGCAATGAAACTTAACGGAATTGAGCAGATAGATTGCAAAATCCTGAGTTGGCAAATTGGCAAGGCTGAAATCTTCCCCCAGAGATGAGCTTCGGCCTCCATCCCATCACAGGTCGTAAACCTTTCCGTCAAAGAAGAGGTTTTCTGGGGATAAAGCAGTGCCGGTGATTGCTTCGTGGGTCATAGATAGGACCCGTCGATTGAAAGCCCAATTGGAAGACGTTCCCATAAATACTGACCAGGCAAGCATCAGCGTACTGCGCCCGGAGGAAACCGGCGCATCAGACGTACCGGGAGTGCCAGAAGGACCAGGGACCCAGTCTATCGTATGGAACGCTAGTGGATTTGTGAGCGGTGCCTCGTTTGTTGGCACATGAACGCCGAGAGATGGAGCGAGTACATTCGAAGAGGAGGGCGTAAGAGGGAAAATGGTCCCCAGTGTGCGGTCTCGTGTCGAAGAATAACTTTCAGTGGCGTCACTAGGGCGTTCGACTGTATCATCCATCAGTATCTGAATTCGAGCGTCAAGATTGAATGAATAGCCAGCTCTGACACGTTTTCTCGCTTGATTGTTGATCCAATGACGTGTCTTGTGAAACCATCAAAGATGCTCGCCGTTCGGAAGCGGCCAGCTTTTGTTGCAAGTCGTTGATGTACCTAGAACCGTTTGGTGAGTGAACGGAATAGTTTGATATTAGAAGTAAGTCGATCAGACTGAAGTCTTACCTCCTGGTGACCACCACCTTTTGCGACTCATCTGGGAAGACGCATTCTTGTTCTCTTTTGCTACATTGCTGACAGGGTTCTGTGCCCGAGCATTTAATCTTTTGATCGCGGCATCTTGTGCAGCTTCGCAGCCGAAGAATCGTCAGCAAATATGACTGATCAAATCCGATTCACAAGGGGTTGTTGTTGTTGTTGTTGTTGTTGTTGTTGTTGTATTTAACGCCGTGGCGGCCGGGCTAGAGCCCTTACCGCAGACCTCCCGAAGGGTATATGGCGTGGAGGGCCGTGAGCCAAGGCTACCTACTCTACAGTACGTCGTCTCTTTACATCGTCCTCCAAATCATGCCTTGTGGCCACTACGCGTTCTGTCTGTCCCCGGTTCCCGCTGGTGCCCCAGTTTCATTCTTTCCCAAATCGTCCCTTGGAATCGGGAGGTTCTTTGTAGTCCGCACTCACATCTACCTAGGTGTGGATGCTGCTACCGCAGACAGATCTTCTGGAAGAAGTCCGTCACGCGGAGAAAGGCCTCGAAGCCTCGTGGGTCGGTGATTAATCTCTTGAAGTAGGCCTCGAGAGATCCCATAGGACCTATGGGCTCGGGCATACTGCGAGAGTGGAGGGTCGGCCACCGTTGCCTCCTCGCCAGCGTTAGTCGACAGTAGACCAGGTGGTCCACGTCTTTCGCCTCTCCACAAGAGCACATCATTAGAGCGTCGTCGTGGTTGAAACGTCGGTGATATTGCTCGAAGTCCCCGTGACCCGATCGTGCCGCCAGCAGGTGATGTAACGTAGCCCGCGGCAAGGCCAGTTCAGGAGGGCTGGACAGAGCTGCCTCAAGCCCCAAGTCCGCGTACCGCGGCCTTCGCTCTTTATACCACCATCTCCTGTGCTGGCTTTGTAATTTTTCCCTTGCAAGCCGCTTGATGCCCGCTAGTGTTGCCATTTGACCCATCCGCGCCGGCAGTGTCGTTCCTTCTTTGGCCAGCCGGTCCGCGGCCTCGTTTCCTTCGATGCCCTGGTGTCCCGGGGACCAGTGCGTCCGTATATCAAATATCCTGGCCGCTTCTTGGATTTCGAGGAACGCGTCTTGTGACGAGTCCGGCGCCTTGCCGCGGATGCCTTGTATAACGCTGGTGTTGTCGATACATATGTGGATTGGATGACCGCGATTGGTGAGCAGAGCCCTTCTGAGGCCGGTTCGCGCCCCTTCGACCTCGGCGTCGAACACTTCTGCTAGTCCGAGTCGGCCGCACCCTTGCGCTATGCGTTTGGAGTCTCGGTAGATGACGAAGCCGTACCCCACGGCTCCGTTCGTCGCCCTGGAGCCGTCCGAGAAGACGATCATATGGCTTTCCGGTACTGTCTTTAGCCAGCGCTCGAAAGCTTTCGCAGCCTCTTCTTTGCATTGAACTACTATCTGATCCTGTGAGCTTGGCAGGTACTGTGATTGGAGGAACGTTGGTCTTCCGCATCTTGGCAGAAGTTCAGCCGTCCGTTGTAGTCTCGTCTGTTGCTGTCCCTGCTGGGAGAGCCGCGCGACTAGCGGGTGTCGGCGATCAATCCTCTGTAGTCGGACTGCGGCCCGTAAACGGACGCCTTCTAAGGCGACTTTGGCTGACGGTAAGCCGGCGTCTCGGAGGAGGCTACTGGTTGGCGTTGTCCTCCAGACAGGTAGAACGATCCTTGCTGCCGCTGTAATGACGCTGTCGATCTTCTGCACGAGCCCCTTCTGGCCTGTGTTGACGGGTCTTCCTTGGAAAGGCGGACTCGTGTCTGTCTCCGCTTGGCGTCTCGAAGCCGGCTTCGTGATACCTGCGTACCATGTTTCGGCGCCGAAGAGCGCGATCGGCAGTACGTAGGAGACGACGGCTTTTCGCACGGCGGCCGCTGGCAGTCCTCTCTTTGTGTTTGTAAGCTGCCTCAGGTGTTGAGCTGCCTTCTTTGCCGCAGCTACTCTTGTGTCGACGTGGTGCCGGAAGGACAGTCTCTTGTCGAACCAGACACCCAGCCAGCGTACAGGATTTGTCGAGGCCTTGACCACCAAATCCCCCGCCCTGACCTCTGGCAGCTCCGCTGGCTGGCTGTGCTTCCTAGTAAAGTGGATGACCTCGCACTTGCTCGGGTCGAAGGAGACCTTGTTCTCCGAGCCCCATCTGAGAATGCCGGCTGCGCTTCGGTTGAGTATTGCGACGTTGCTCTCCAGGGAGGGGCTGATGGCCAGAGTGGCGATGTCGTCCGCGTACCCGAATCGCGCGTCCGGGTCGTCTTCAAGGATCTCCGCGATGTAGAGCAGAAAGACGATGGGAGATAGTGGCGACCCCTGAGGCAGCCCGCATGACAGAGGAAAGTATTCCGTCGTGCTTTCTTCCAGTCGGACTCTGGCGATGCGGTTGCAGCAGAAGCTGAAGATGAGTCTAATCAAGCCGTGTGGCCATCCCTGCTGACGCAGTCTAATGACGAGCCGGTTCCGAAGGACGGAGTCGAACGCCCCTTTTACGTCCATAGTCAGAAGCGTCGGTGAGC